CTGGAACCCCCTAATTGGTCAAACGCACGTCTATCTCCATTAAGAACAATCAGATATTTCAAAAACTATAATTTGCGACGGAAATGAAGTTGATATTCATGTTCAGCGTATGAATATTTAGTAAATGTTTAGTAAATAGTAAATATTTAGTAGAAAATGGGCAACTGGTAGCTAAGTATGGGGCGGGAGGGAAAGTTTTAAAAATACCACTGGCTATTCAATTTGCCGCAAACAAATCCAAATGACTTCATTTTTCAAGAAGATGGAGCACCATATCCTTGTCATCTCTACGTTCGAGCTTATCTGAATGATTGAAAACGTGACTCAACAGTTGACTGGCAGGAGGATTGCTAAAGACCTCGTTCTCTGCACTTGGCCAGCCAGATCCCCAGACCTCACTGTGAGTGACTTTTTCTTATGTGGTTATGTTAAAGATAAAGTTTATGTTCCACCGCTTTCAGCATATATCGATGATATTAAAGATCGAATAACAGCTACAATCAACACAGTGGACCGAGACATCCTGAGGCGCATTTGGCTGTCCCCGTGGTTTTATGCACCCCGAATAATATAGAACAATTCGATCACTTTTTGCATAATTTCAGATTATTTTCCTTTATCATTCTTTGTTGAAATTAACAGGATCGCATAATTTCAGATTATTTTCCTTTATCATTCTTTGTTGAAATTAACAGGATCGCATAATTTCATATTTTTGGGCTCAGTTTGCTTAATTTCAGAATTGTTTTTGCATAAAACCGAGGGGACAGATTTGGGAGGAATTCTCATGTCGGCTTGATGTTGTCCGTACTGCTGGTGGTGGCCGCATTGAACAACATGAAATAAAAACTTGAAGGTATGAACAACACATGTATCCAAACTGGAGTTTCTTTTGTTTTTCACTTTTGAAATATCGCGTGATGATTTTAGTGTATTCATTTTGAATCACCCTGTATGTACGTAGATCTATGTATGATATATATTATATATATACCATCACGTACATGTGTATATAGATCTATGTACATAAACATCCACTTACGATTCACAGCTCCAAGGAAAAGATATTCTCCGTTGTCCTCTCGACAAGAGATATCTCTACTTTCTGGGACTGTGGAATATCCGTGTGCTTTTATGCTCTACGTCCTGGATGAACTTACATCAGCTAGATCTAACTTCGTGCAGATCTATTTCCGTGCGACGGTGGTGATTATGTCACCCGACTTTGTTACTTTGAGGAAATTAAATTCGTACCCAAACCCCTACCCCCCCCTCTCTCTCTCTCTCTCTCTCTCTCTCTCTCTCTATCTATCTCTCTCTCTCTCAGTCAGTCATCCCCCCTCCTCTTCCAAACCTTTTCCTCTAGACCACCCGACCCACCCACCCACGAGTTCTCTCCTCCGCTTTCAAAACAATAGTTGTTTTGGAAGCCGGGAGCATCACCACCCCAAGTTACGTTACATAAAATCACTGAACCAAAGTGGGACACTTTATGCCCTGTTGTTATTGTTGTCGAGTCACTTGTTCTCTTTCGGTTGGGAGAAGAGGGGGGGGGGAGCTTTACTTTTTAAGTGAGGTGGGGGCAGGTGGGGGGGGGGGGTTTATTGTACCAACGTTCTTTTCGTAATACTTTGTTCAACGTTCTTTCCGTCCCACTTTTCACAAGCAAAAGAGTGCCAGCAGTTCCACTTGTGCAATGAAGTACGTGCATCTTTAAACTGATTTTTATAAATGTTAGGTTAGGCCTTTGCCAAAGTTTCAAATGAAGTATCTATCAAAAAAATATTCTAGAGTCGAAATGCACTCAGCTGTCTGGGCGATTTCAAAAGCATCCTTTTCCTAATATAAGTCCTCGAATTCCGAAACACCCTTTTTTTTAACATAAGTGTGACTTAACTTTTTATGGTATAGAGTGTAAAGAAGAAAAAAAAGTATGTAAACTATAATTGTTCGCTTTTAAGCACAAGGGGGCTATCCCGAAAACTGCTGTTTTGAGAAAATCGAAGGTAAAGTTTTTGGATCCTTATTCAGTTTCTTTAAAAGACAAGGAGTGTTTTCTCTATAACCAAACAAATATACACACCAATGTAACCAAATTTTTCCTATAGGTAGGTCAAGATTTAAGGAAACCTCCGAAATCTGGGTTAGCCTGCTTGTCCTTAAAAGCGACCAATTGTAAGCATTCCACGCCCCCGTGGACACATGTTATGGAGGCGGACTGCTTCGACTAACATGAAGTCAACCCGAGCTGAGTAGGATACACCATCCTGACAGACAGAAATACTCGATAGACAACCTACCCTCTCGAAAATCGAATTTCTGCGTGCCACATAGAAGAGATAAACGCTACATCTCAGAAACTTATTCTATACAAAAAAGTATAGTTTTTAAAGCGGTTGCAAAATTTAAGTTATATACCAATCCTAAAACCTTACACACATCTCAAACAATTGCATAGAAAATTGCGTGGAAAAGCATCTGAATATGAACCAAAACCAAAGAAAGATTCTCTTGCCTTTAACTGCTTATTAAATAACTCTTTATTTGGAGTTAAAATTGTTTCGTGGGCCAAAGTTAATTGTGAAATAAAAACGCTTTAAAAGCATTTAAAAAAACACAAACTATGATGATTGCATTCAGGGGCGAAGGCTGACTTGTTTGACAGGGTAATCAAAGTGAAACGGGACCAGATATAGATCTATATGGCATGTAGATATCACAGAAGAATCTTACTCGAGGCGGCGACTCTGAGTTGTGAATGAAAACAAATCCGGAATTCTTATTGTATGTTCAACCGCCAAAATAATCGGGAAAGTATCTTATTAAATATCAGTTCCAACTAAAATTAAATTAACTTTAGATGTGAATACATAAACACAAAGCAAAGAAGCAGAGATGTCAGTACTAGATCTATATGTTATAGACCTACCAGAGAGTCTAACTCTTTGGTAGAACATGACAATTATCATTTTTTAAATTTCACATTTGGCTGTTTTTGTTAGCCTTTCGTGGCCAGGAGCTGGTGTCATAATCGAGGTCACGATCTGATTATAGGACAGTAAAAAGTCGAGGAAAAAAAACAAGCACATACAGCAGTAAAGAGATTGTTAGGAGTTAGTTCCCCTCACATTTGTGAGGTAGACTCGACCAGCGTTCGTTAGCTTACTTAATCAGGGCCTGGGATTGATTATAACTGTGGCCCCAAAGGGGTGAACAGGGTATATGTGGCAATGAAACAGCCATGACTGCTATGCACATGTTCCCTAAACTGTATTGGCAGACTCTTCCCAGCCTCACTTTAAGCTTACTTAATCAAAGCTTGCGACTCCTTATGGAGTGGCCCGAGAGGGATGAGGAGGCTATTTATGTGGCCGTGAAACCGTTTTGAATGTTAGGCATACTCATTGTGGATTACGAACCTCTTTTTACTTTTAATTTAAGAGGTTTACGTTTAAGGATGAATTTGACAGCGACAATGTTTCAAAATTAGGAAGGGAAGCAGTGATTATTTGATTATATAGACGCTTCGCCCCTGATTGCAGGCCAATATTATTATTAAAATCATTCTGATTATAGGCACCAGCGGTTTCGCGCTTAGATTCCGGAATGGAAAGGGGGGGGGGGGTTCTATCTAATGTCTCAGTCTTTCTGCTGGAATGTCGTTCCCAGCCTGGGTTGACCCTGACAGCCACGGTCGGAAGCCCATCTGCTAACTGATCTAAGTTGGGCCGTTTTGTTTGAGTAAAGAGAAGCACATCGACACAATAATAGTCATTAAGTGCTGGAAAAAAAGACAGATAGACAAAAATAACAAAGGGAGAGTAAATAAGTAGGACCTACCAGTGGCGCCCTCCAACGACCCACTAAATTGAGTTGATGAGGGCGTAAAAAATACGAACATAAAAAAATTATATTTTATTACAGGTAAATCTGCTTCAAAAGTGACTGATTCTTGTCGGTTCAGCAAGATAGGTTGTGAGTTGAAAGATTTACATTATCTGTAAAAAATACAGTCACCCTATCATTCTGGACTAGCTCAGAATGAATAATTATATCAAAGACATTCTGGTTTCTGGACGTCCATAACAGTGACAATGTTTCAGTTTGCATATAATATCATTCTTTTCAGAATAACTAAATGACACATCTGGAGAAAAAAAAACATTATCGAAAAAAACTTCAAGATGGAATCCACAAGGAAAGAGAAAGAAAAGAAGGTAAGACCAGACCATCAATAATTTATAGAGAGACAGGATCCTGCCTTAGCCTTTTAGAGTCTACCTTTATGCACTCTGTATCTATGATTTCCAACCCATCTGGGATTGGCCTTGGATAATTCTCTTACCACCCGTCGGAATTGACCCAACCCCAAGGAGCTTAGAACTAACTTACTGTAATCTCCTTGCCCAACCCCTACTCCCGCACAACACCCCTCCCTCCTTCTTTCCAAACAGTTCTGGGAGGACGGACTAAGAGTCCGACCCAAAGGAAATTGTAAGACAGATGGACAGAGGCGGAGACTATAGCCCAGGGCAGAAGTACAGGGAGAGCTCTAAATGGTGGCCCCTATCCCTGTGCGAGGTGAGAAAGGATGATGACGACGACGACGACGACGACGATGATGATGATGATGATGATGATGATAATGATGATGATCC